AATTGGAGAAAGCGATGATACAACTTTCCAAAACCACTAATGATCACATAAATGAGACAAGAGCCTACCACAAGAACCAAGACGCTTCAATTAGAAACTTGGAAACTCAAATTGGCCAACTTTCAAGACAACTAGCTGAGAGGAGTCAAGAAAAGAGCGTTGCAGTGTCAAAGGAGCAATGCAATGCCATCACTACAAGGAATGAGGAGCTAGAAAAAGAGAAAGTTGAAGTTTCTACAAGAAAGGATGAACAAGCTCAAAAGGATGAAGAAGAAGCAAAGGAACAACCTCCTGCAGTTCAAAAGAAGCAATGAGATTTCTCACGTTTTGAGAAACTCCCATATCCAATGAGGCCAAAGCAAAATGAGCAAAGGAAGCAATTGTCTAAATTTTTAGATATTTTTAAGAAATTGCAGATTAATATTCCTTTTGCAGACACTCTGGAGCAAATGCCCTCATATGCCAAATTCTTGAAGAAAACATTATCTAAGAAGAGGAAGCTCACAGAGGATGAACCTGTCACATTAACAGAGGAGTGCAGTGTAATCCTACAGAAAAACATGCCTCCAAAGTTGAAGGATCCAGGAAGCTTCAGTATTCCATGCATCATTGGCAAGACAACTATAGAGAGAGTCTTATGTGATCTTGGTGCCAGCGTTAATGTGATGCCATTAACCCTGATGAAGAAGCTGGGGATTGATGAAGTCAAGCCAACTAGGATGAATGTTCAACTGGCCGACCGCTCAACAAAGCAAGCACATGGTATTGTGGAATATGTGCTAGTCAAGGTAGACAAATTTCTAATTCCTGCTGATTTTGTTATCCTTGACATTGATGAAGATGCCAGTGTGCCTATGATCTTCGGGAGGCCATTCTTAGCAACCTCAGGAGCATTAATCGATGTACCTAAGGGTGAGTTGATAATGCGCGTGGATGGAGAGCAAGCAATATTCAAAGTACTTATAAATGAAGCTCCTCCATTGCCTGCTCCTCAACCTAAGAATCAAGTCAATTACACTGCGGAGAAAAAGGTTGAGGAAAGGAATAAGAAGGAAATTCATCAGTGGCATGAAGGAAGCAAGCCAAAGGTTAAGATCGAAAAGCCCAAGGGTAAGGAAAAGCATGTGAGGACTAAGTTTAAAGTTTATGAGAACCCTCATCCTTATCCACATGCATATGAGTATAACCATGGCGGGACACAAATTCTGAGCAAGGGTATAGTGTCATCACTGAGCCCGAGTTACCAGCCACCATGATCACAAGGGGTACGTCAGGCTCGTGACGTTAAACAAGCGCTACTTGGGAGGCAACCCAATGAGTTTTTATTATTATTATTTATTTTTTATTTCCTTCCCCTTATCTGTCTTTAATTTTTATTTTGATGTTTTATTTTCGTTGTCTTTGTTTGACCATCTAGGTTTATGTTAGGGTAATTTGAACCTCTTTGGTATTTTGAGTTATAATTCTCCAGTACATTGGTTATGTTATTTTCTGCCTGATATTTCACATGTGTGATGTTTATACTTGTGCAGCAGTATTTTCTCCGACTACTTTAGTTATTGCTGAGGATAACAATATTCTAAATCCGGGAATTGGGGCCGCATACACGGCAATCGAGGTATCACACACAGAAAAAGGTTCAGCGGATTCATAGCTACTTCAGGGGAGTTATTTTAACCTTTCTAGTTATTTTCATTTTTATTTTTTCATTTTGGTAGAAATTTTGTGTTTTTAGTTTCATTTCCTGCTATGTGAAAGCACAGTCCTAATTTAGATGTGCTACTCAGTCAAATCCTTGGTTGAATATGAGGAAGCATTGCATGATATGCAAGATTGTCATGACATTGCATAGAGCATGAATAGAGATTATGATTGCTCGTTTGTTTGATTTCTATGATAATGATGCTTGAAATGAAATTAAGAAGAGTCTAGTTTGATACCACAGCTTGTGAGGTTTGTGCCTATACAGTTAATTTTTTTTTTGAGAGTCCTCACTGCAGTGGTACTCTAGAACTTGATTTAATTCTCTCCAATGCATGTGTTGATTGAAGTGATAGAGGCATTTTGTTCTATTAAGCTTATGGCCAAATAGCTACCTGAGAAATCATCCATTGTTCTATTAAGCCTGAGACCAATTTTTTTTAATTACCTTATTAAACTGTTTAGACCACTTCCATCAGAACTTACCTTGATTGAGATTGAAATGTCAATAATCAGAACGCTACCATCGCCATCATCAAGCCTGCCACTACCATAACGTCACCGCTACCATCACCACCACTGTCACCAACCACCACTATCATTGCTGTAGCCACCACCGACACCGCTGTCGCCACCTCCACCATCGTCACAACCACTACTGTCACCTACCACCACCGTCGCTGCCACTGCCACCACTACCACCACCTCCATGAAGCCATCACAACCACCACCACCATTTCACCGCTACCATTGTCTCCGGCACCAACCACGTATGCCACCAACCACCATTGTCGTAGCCACTGCCGTTACTCCACCACCACCATCCCCACAATTATCGTCGCCACAATTACCACCGCCATCACCGCAACCACTGCTGTCACAACCACCACCACTATCATCATCACGTCACTGCCACCACCATCGCCGTACTGCCGTCGCCGTCGCCGCCACCACCACCATGCCACCCCCGCCGCTACCACTACCACAACCACACCATATGGATGGAAAAGTGATGATTCAATTATTTTTTATATTTAATAGGAATTATTTTTTATTATATTATTTGTTGTGTTATCAAACGCAATTCTCATTCTCGGAATAAAAATAGAACATGTTATCAAACACAATTTTTTTCTCATAAACTGTTCAAAGGAACAGAAATAGAAAAGAATTGTTTCTTTTCAGAAATAGTGCTAGGGAATAGAATGATTGTCATGCACATCATAATTGTTTACTTATTTATATAAAAGAAATTTAAAGGTAGATGATAAAATTATATATTATATATATAAAATATGTGAAACTTATTTTTTCTCTTTATTTTTTTTCTCTTATAATCTCATATACAATACACACATTTTTATAGGCGTGAGATATAATTTTATGTTATTGAAAAAAATAAATATAATATGAGAAATAGTAAACAATGATGAACTTGAACTATACAAAATGAGCTGAATTTACTATGATACCACCAAGTCGTCCAAAAAGAAAAGATGTTTCCTGTAAAACATTAATAATAAAACAATGACGAAGACGAAGAACTTGCCGGTTAGTATCGAAGTTTGGTCGGAACTTTGGGAGTTGAGAGTGGAGAGAGATAAGATACGTTACTTTAATTACTTGGGACTTGGACACTTGCCAAGTTGCCAATAAACATTGTTTGTTGTGGGTGTGTGGGTCCCATCAAAACTGATGATTGAGGAAGCGCGTGGATGCCAAAGAGCGTGTCATTAATGATGCTTCGGTTTGAAACGTACTTTTGTTGTTGGCTGCTTGCTACTCCCTCCCCCTCTCTCCCTCCAGTGACACAGAAGATACAGTGACAGATACAGTGTGACCCAAACAAAAACTCGGGAACTGAGCACACCTTACTTACTTTCCAATGCCAACAATCTACTCTTAACCCTTATCTTCACAATACTAGGGTTTGCCTCTCTTCAAAGTTCATACTCATACATTGGCACTCAACACTCAACAGGTGTGTGTGCTCATCAACTCTTGCAATTTCACTTTGGTTCTTCATTTCCTTTTTTTTTTCCTTTTCCTTTTTCTTTTTTCCATTCCCCAGTGTGCCATGATTTTTGCAAACAAAACTTGATTTCACTCCAAGTTCCTGTTTTTAGTACATTTTGGTTTGTGGGTTGGTTTGTTTTTTTATTTTTATTTTCTTCTCATTGTGATGCTTCCCTAACTTTCTCCAGAAGAGCACGTCGTTTCAACTTTTTCGTTTATTTTTTTTTGTTAGCCAAGCTTGTGTTTTGGAGAAGGACCCTTTCTCCGGATGTAAAATCTGGCATTGGTTTTTGCTATTTATTTAAGACACCAAATTTGAGTTTAATTTTTGTTTTTAAGTGTTTTGATGTTTAAAGATTCTCTAGGCAACACAACATGTAGACTTTTTATTTTTCTCCTCTTAGAAGTGGAGTGGTTTGTTTTTACTGAGGCAGGAGCAGGATCTCTGCTCGTTCTGTCTCTCTGTTTTTGTTGTTTTTTTGTTACTATTCCTTCAGATTTTAGTTATTTGGTTCCAGACTGCATGCAGATCTGGGTTTCTGTCGGCCACAAACTCTTGTGCAGTTATGGAACGCTTGAAATTTGCATCTTTTCCTCCATTTTCCAAACTTTAGTTTCACATAATTCAAAAGAAAAAAAGAGGCAGAAAATCTGTTCCTACTTTTGTTAGCTTCACCTATAATCTTCCATTTTGAAAAGCTTGGCGAGGAATCTGAAAATTTACTATTAGCAACATGGCTTCTGGGTTACGTTGCAGAAAAAAGAAGAAAAAAGCATCTCTTTCTGAAATGCTGAAACATGGAAGAGCTTTAAAACTTTGGTTGTCTGTGGTGTGTGCCTAATCATTTCTAGTTATTCAAGATGAATTTACGAAATTGCATTTTAGTGCAGCATTCAGTGGCACGCCAACGAACATTGGAGTAAAAGGGAGGAAAGGTCAAAATGAAAATTGGAAAAGTATAAGATGTTTTCTTTAGTTGATTATAGTTATTTAAAATTTTTTGTCCAAGGTTCTATTTATTTATTTATTTGTGTTTTGGATTTAGTAGGTGGTAGTGGAGTTAGTTTACTTGGAGTTTCTTTGAAGGGATTATATGCTGTTTGTTTGTTAGGTTCTTTTGTTGAATGCTGATCCGAGGTTGTCATCAGCTGTGAACTATGACTTTTTCTCGTGCTATAAATCAAATTCCTTTTCGTCTTTATTTCTTACTCAGATTCCTATTGCAGGAATAGTGGGTCAGGGGCTTTAAACTAGAGGTGGTCTTTTACCTTTTTATCACTTGAGAGATTAAAATATGCAGACACCAAAAGCAAGGTAAGATTGTAATTATTGAACACTTTTCCTGTATTTCATTTTTCTGCCATTTTATGTTTTGGTTTCAACATATGATAATTTCTGTGGTCTAAATGAGGGATTAATAATGACTCTTTTTTATCTATTATATTTGGATGTATAAATCAGGGATTGTTCGTTTCCAAAATTAAAAAAAAGGTGAAAAATGAAAAACTAATAATGGACGCATTTTTTAAATGTAGTTGATTAGTAAACTTTGAGTCTATCACTTTGCGTATGTTTGTTAATCGAAATTTGTAAAGGGATTTTTCTCTGTGGTTTGGTGAGAAAAAATAATTTTTTAAAATTAACTTCTCCCAGTTCTTATTGTGCTTGAAGCAATCTTTTATGCCTCTTTACTTCGTTGCCAGAAGTATGATTAAGTGGGCTAAAGTTTTAGTTTCACTCGAGTTGGAAAATGTAACGTTGTCATTTGGCTTGGATGATATCACGAACTTCTAGTTTTCATTTTAAGATGTCTTTACATTGAAAGTGTCAGTAGAAGATAAATTTGAAAAGGTCCTTTCTCTCTCCCTCTCCCTCGCTATAAATATATTGTTCCTGTCATGTAGTAATTCTCACTAGCTCATGATCATAAAGTCTTTTGGTCTCAAAACCTTTTGTCTACATTTTAGTTGTGTAGATTTCTAGACACTGGAACTCAACTTCTTTTCGTATTTTTATGTGTTTATTGTAGTATTTTGGTATTCATACGATGAAAATAGCTAAACCAGAACTTGTTACTGGCCTATCCTTGAAAAAGCAACACATGTATTTAAATGGTGGTTTTTGAAAGTAGTGTTGCATTTCTTCCACCAATTGATTGATTCTCCTCACTTAACCACTTCAGTGTGCTATCCCAAGATGGTTTTTGATCTTCCACCAATCAGAACTTTGTGGCCGAAAATAATGTTGGTGGTGTTTGAAAATAATGTTGCATATCTTCCACCAATTAGTTGATTCTCCTCACTTGACCACTTCAGTGTGCTATCTCGAGATGGTTTTTGATCCCCAGTCTATTATATTTGTTTATGCATACTAATTGGCTTATGGCTGCCTGTAAGCAGAGTTGGTACTTCAGAAGTTCCCCAAAGGAAATCTCCTGTAACCCCTCGGACTGCTCGCCAGTTGAAGACACCAAACTCTGATTCTGACTCGGTTTTGTCCTCTCCAAACCCTGCAAGAAAGACTCCAAAAGATAGGAGCCCAAAGGTCATTGAACGCAGGTCATCACAAAGTCCTATATCTGAGGTATTTGATGTTAGCTCATAGCTAGATTTGAATTACCTCACTTTGATTAGATTTGCCTGATAGTACTATCTTGGCTATGGCAATCTCTTTAATGATAGATATATACTTATTGTCTTATGGTTCTTGGATACATTTATTCAAGTCCTTCATTAATCTATTATCTATATGTATATATAAAGTCCGAAATATTTATATTGTTGATAGTTTTTAATTTTATTCCTCACTCTTTAACCTCCTTTTATTATCTTGCTCTAGAAGAAGCGATCTACGAAGGTTCAGGAATTAGAATCTCAGATTGCTCAGCTTCAAGAAGATCTGAAGAGTGCTCGGGATCAACATAACTCATCTGACTCATTGGAGAGAAAAGCTCAACAGGAGGCTGAAGAGACAAAGAAGCAGCTTTTAGCCTTGTCAAAAGAGCTGGAGGAATCCCAACAACAGCTTTTGGACCTCACTGCTTCTGAAGATGCACGACTTCAAGAACTCCGTAAAATTTCTCAGGATCGAGATCGAGTGTGGCAATCTGAACTAGAGGCTGTCCAGAAGCAGCATTCAATGGATTCAGCTGCTTTGGTATCTGCCATGAATGAAATACTGAAATTGAAAATTCAACTTGAAAGAAGAGTATGTGAGTCTGAAGCTGCTCAGACTAACAACGCAGAGTCAGCTGATGCTGAGATTCAGGACTTGAGGATGGAGCTTGATGAAACTCTCTCTATGGTGGAAAGGCTAAAGAATGAGGTAAGCAATTGCAGAGAATCTGAATCCAGGGCCTTGGAAGTAGTTGGTAAAATGCAAATGCAATTGGAAACAGCAAATGAGACTGTGGAAACACTCCGGTCAGATGGTATGAAAGCAATGGAAGCTTACAAATCCTTAGCTTCAGAAATGGAGCAATCAAGAAATCAAGCAAAATCATTGGAGGAACTTGTGAGCAAACTTCAGGCTGATTTGCTTAGCGGCGCTAACATGAATACATTAGGTCCAAATAATGAAAAAGGACTTTCTCAGGAAAATGGAGAAAATGAGGAGATAAACCAGCTCAAAGCTGAGCTTATCTCTACCAAATCTGAAGTTGTGCAGTTGAAGTCTGCATTGGATATTGCTGAGATAAGATACCAAGAAGAGTATATCCAAAGCACATTGCAGATTAGAAGTGCTTATGAACTACTGGAACGTACAAAATCAGAATCTGGTCAGAGAGAGGTTGAATTGTATGAGGAACTGAGAAAAGCTAAAGCTGATACTGAAGAGCTAAGGGCAAGCCTGATGGACAAGGAATCTCAGCTGTTGAGTATGTCAGAGGAGAATGAGGGGCTTAATTCCAAGATCAAGGAAAACCAATCTACTGAAAGGCAATCTGAACTTGTGATGGAGCTCAAAAAATTGGATGCTGATATTGAAGAGTTGAGGTCTAAATTATTATGTAAAGAGACTGAGCTGCAAAATATATCTGCAGAAAACAGTATGCTCAAGATGGAAATAAAGGAGGAGTTGGAGAAGAATAAAAACACTGATGATGCTGTTGCTTCAGCGGAAGGAGCAAGAGCTGCAGAGCAAGAGGCTTTGAAGAAACTTGGTTACATAACAGAAGAAGCTGATAAGAGTAACAGAAGAGTGGCTCGGGTGATTGAGCAATTAGATGCTGCTCAGGCCGCAAATTCAGAGTTAGAAGCTGAATTAAGGAGATTGAAAGTTCAGTCAGATCAGTGGAGAAAGGCAGCTGAAGCAGCTGCATCTATGATTTCTGCTGGAAACAATGGGAAATTTGTAGAGAGAAACGGTTCACTTGATAGCAGCTTCAATTCTATTACTGGCAAGATGATGAATTCTCCTTATTTAGAAGACACAGATGATGACTCACCAAAAAAGAAAAATACAAACATGTTGAAGAAGATTGGAGTGTTATGGAAAAAGAATCATCGATAAGTACATGTGGCCCAGGTATTCAATCAATGCATAAACCTGTTAGTCAAAACGGATTTACTTATTTGTTCTTTAATTGTATTTTTTGTTGTTGTTATTGTCAGGTATTATATGGTTTTAGCTTACATGAGTCATGATGACCATTTAAGCAGTTCCTTGGGGAAATCTGCGAAGTATTGTAACATCCGAACCTGGCTTATTATTAATGGCGCGGAGAATGTTAACTGCTTAGGTGTTTACAGACACTAGTGTATTTTGTTGTTTCAATGAGTCAAGTATGTTTTCATGTCATGACATCCTTAGTAAGTAGAAAGATTATGGATGACAAAGGGCAATGAGACCTAATGATATGTGATGGTCCTATATCTTTTGTCATGTGTTAACCGTTAACGGATGTTATATGACTTTTGTCATTTGATGGTCCTATTATCTTTTTTGTTTTCATATTTTGGTAATGCTCGACAGATTACATAATTGATTAATGGTTGGACCGAGGAATTTGGAAATAAATGCAAGGGATGGTTAATTTGAGTAAATCTTTACTTGATAATTTTTAAAATGAATTTAAGAAAATGAGAGATTATCATGTAGTTTTTTTTAACCTTCTTTTATTTTTATTTTTTTAAATATTTTATAACCCTTTCAAAGAATGTAATTTTTTTTTTTTTTGAGAAAGTATTTTTATTTAAGAACTTTTTAAAATAAAGATATATAAATCAATCAAATGTTATTCATTTTTGTAGATATTTTGTCTATCAAGTTTTTAATACAAGAACATTACTCACAGTACATAGGTGGATATTCCAGGAATTCTATTGGTATATCACGCCCACGGAAAGGGAAAAAGAAAATGAAAAATGAAACAAAGTGTTTTTTTTAATACATAAAGTGTGTTTTATCTCTGAGTTCAGAAAAGATAAAAAAAATTAAACATCCTTTTAAGCTGAAGTTGTTATTGTATGATCTCTACTCATTTTTTTATTTTAAATGACTGTTAATTATGATTGAACAAAAGGATTTAAAAAGTCATTCAATATTTTTATTTCTATAAAAATATATTTATACTTGATTAATTTTTTATTAATATTCTATCACTTCATTTAGTGAAAGTATAAAAAATAAAAACAAGAAATATTAATTATTTATTTTTTTAAATTATAAATAATTTAAAACAAACTCAAAAGCGATTTTTTTGTTTGTTTGTTTGGTTTGATTGTCGTTAGGATCCCCAACAAACTAAAAATCTATGAAGAGATGTAGCACCAATATGATCTATAACCTATTATTTCAATGGGTCATAGTAATGTGAGAAATACAAAGGTGCAATGGGCTTCTAATATGAAAGTCTAGGCCCAACTGTTTTGTTTACCCAATAGTCCAGAAAAAGAGGCATTGGCACAGTACTCGCCACTCTCCACTCTCTCTATATAAACTCGACATTCCATTTTTAGGGTTAGGGTTTTGTATTGCGCGGCTGCTCCATACACACCATCTTCTCCGATTTCGTCCTACTCTATCTGCGTAGAACTAAGCTTTCATAGCCATGGGGTAATTCAACTTTACATTTGCGGTCAATATTATTCTTCTTAATTTTCTTTGCTATTATTATTAGGATACACGTTGGGAATAGTTATGTGCAATTCGAATTTTCGATCGTTTTGTTATCTTGCGCAATTCGTAGTGTCCCTGGTCCTTTTATAGTTGCGGTTTAGCTAATATTGGATGCTTTTGCATATTTATGGTCTGTTTCTATTTCTTCCTGAGAAAATTGAACACTGAAAGATGAAGCTAGTGAATCCGGTAATTTGTTTGTTGTGATGTACGTGGTAGAGTTCTTTAATTTATTGTTCCTTTGGGTGGATTCATGTCACTATGTCAAGTCAAGTATTCTCATGGTTTCTTCTCATATGAGAAGTTTATATTTTCTAGTTTGGGACTTGTGTAGGATTGTGCTATGTGATTTGATTCTTACCTCGGCACTTCATGTGCTTTTTTGTGTTTGATTTCTTTAATGTAACGCAATTTCTTTGTTTCCATGAACAATCTTTAGTTATCCATTCTTTTGGACTTGATATTTTTTGAATTTCGTTATGTTATTCCTTTAATTTGAGGGACTACTTAACTTTTATTCTACATTAAACCATCAGAGTTCGAAAATTGAATCTTCCTAGTTTCCTGCTTCTGCAGGAAGACACGTGGAATGGGAGCTGCCCGCAAGCTGAAGTCCCACCGTAGGAGGCAACGGTGGGCAGACAAGGCATACAAGAAATCTAATCTTGGCAATGAATGGAAGAAGCCTTTTGCTGGTTCATCCCATGCAAAGGGTATTGTTCTCGAAAAGATGTAAGATTAATTTAGCTAGTTTTGTATATCTTTTACTGGCATATTTTCTTAATTGGAGCATCTGATATTAAGAAATTAGTAATGTATTCTCTGTGCAGAGGTATTGAGGCTAAGCAGCCCAACTCTGCCATTCGAAAATGTGCTAGGGTTCAACTCATCAAAAATGGGAAGAAGATTGCTGCATTTGTGCCAAATGATGGTTGCTTAAATTACATTGAAGAAAATGTAAGTTATCATGTTATTTTGCTAATTTGGTTGTGTTGTATTCTTTTTGTTATTTTGCGTATCCTCTGCATGCTGTAAAATCTGCAAATGTATTGAAATTCATTGTGTATGATATGGGCTATGGCTGATGGTTGTAGGATGAAGTCTTGATAGCTGGATTTGGACGTAAAGGTCATGCTGTTGGTGATATTCCTGGTGTCAGGTTCAAGGTCGTGAAGGTTTCTGGTGTCTCTCTCCTGGCTCTTTTTAAGGAGAAGAAAGAGAAGCCTAGGTCTTAAATTTGCGGGATGGCTACTCTCTCCCTCTTTTTATAGTTTTTCCCAAAAATTATTGTGAGTTTTGCTTCATGAGATTGAACGAGTTGTATGGACAATTTTGTATCCGTGATAGTAATTTATCTGAACATTTGATTCGTAGCATAGACTTCTTTTCCTCATTCTTTTTTTGTTTTCCTTGACATTGCTCGAAGTCCAGTCATCTTCACGCCTTAGCATTCGGTTTTGAGCAGCGCATCACTTAATTTTAGGAAGAGTCTGTTCTAATGTTAAATAGACTATTGTGGATTCATTATAAGGGTTAAAACGTACCATTTAGATCAATGTGAAATCCCAGATTCAATCATTCAAACGCAGCTAACGATTTAATATTTTGGGCTGTAATGTCTTTTTGAATGAAAAAATGGGGCTAAGAACCTAAAATAAAGATAATTAAAGTATAGCCATTAGAGTGTCGAGCAATCGGACCAAAATCTCCAGATGCTTCAAAGGTTGGAGGTTGACCCCTGTTGGCTGAACACGGTGAAGGAGCTTCAATCTTGTACAGCTTATGTACGCATTTTTGTATCCTATGAATTTAATGTACTATCTATTCTAGTATTGATAAGCAAACGAAAGATATAGTCAGTACAATAAAATCCTATTGGTAAACTTACGAAATTGGAAGCTATTAATGCGTTTCAATTTGAACAAAATTCAATCATAGCCCAAAGTTTATATAAAATTGAATTATAGAGTAGGTTATCTCATCCAGTGTTTTAACTTTATCTCATTTTACTATAGTGAAATAATCACTGAATTTTTCAATACGAATGAAAGATCTGCTAAAAATAAATTTAGACTTTTTATGCATCTGAGTTGAATAGATATTATTCAATAAATATAATAAGGGAAAAAAGTTTCCGATGTTACTTTAGATAACTTTATCTAATGTTCATCGAAACGACGTCGTTTTGGGGTTGAAAAATTAAAAAATTAGAGTGATAAAGACTATTATAACCCTGAAATAAATTAAAATTACAAAAATACCATAATTTTCGTCCCAAAACGACGTCGTTTTGATGAACATTAGATAAAGTTATCTAAAGTAACATCAGAAAAAACAAACCCATATAATAATCTCCAAATTATAAATTACTCATTGATGAATAAATATTATTTATTCAATATTTTTTTAGAAAAAATATATACAAAAAGCAGGAAACTGTTTTTTAAAAAGAATTGTATTGACAAACGAGATATTATCGTGGGTATTAATCAATATATGTAAACCATTTGATTGATTTTAACTTGATTAGTAGATTAATTTTTTTTTTTGCAAGTTTTTAAAATTTAAGAACCCCTCATCTAATAAGAAAATTGTATAACTATTTTACAGGGCAGAAGAGGGAGTGGGAAGCAAATGATACAAAAAGGGAAGCATGCTAATCAATGTTAGCTAAATGGTTTGAACACTTCAGCATGAATAAATATTATTTATTTAATATATATAACAATGTCAATAATTCAAATACATTTTTTAATGAAATATTTAATTTTTTAAGATAAACTCTGCGTTAGCCTCTCCGAAGTTAGGGTACCACGACAAACAAACTAGGTTTAAGATTTAAATTTTTTTATTTAACCAAGTAAACTAAGATCTAATCTTTTAAAGAGGCTTATTTAGCCCAAGCTATTCTATGTAATTTATTTAAAAAATAATAATTTTATAATACTTATATGATTTATTAATCACAAAATTTGATTAATTACATTTATTCAAGAGCTACAAAATTTGAATTTTTTACGCATATAATACTAGCTTCTAAATAAGCTCTATAACAGTGCTTAACCAAAATGCAAAAGAAAATATTATGTCAGGCATTTAAATTTTCTAGTAGTAAGCAGAAAATGAAATCCAGAAGGATACAGGGCACCACGTCCATTTCTTTTCTATCTAAACATCCACAAATGACACAGGCAATAAATCCATGTAGGAAAAAAATAGATCTAAAAAAACCATCAAATTCAATTAAATAGTAGAACACGTGCTACAAAATTATAAACTTTCTATTCATGACTTGGACTGAGTACATCAAGAGACTTATATAGTTGCACTTTTAGCACAAAACAGAAAACTCAAATAACATGTAGTACACCTTAATTAAATCATCTCAGTTGTTTTCTTTTATAATGGTTGAGGGCACAGGTAAGTTGATCAGTTTTACCTCAGAAACTTTCGTTTCTGTAAAAACACTGCCATCCATATTGCAAAAGGAATCTTTGACTGCAAAGGGTCTCCTTATTGAAGCTGTCATATCAAAGCTGGTTGGGGATACAGATAGAGATGGGATAGATGTACCGTTCAATAATTCCTCTTTTGTAGGACAATCAATAAGCTCCTTGTGACTTAATAACTCCAGATCATTGGATTTATCTTGGAAGCTGATATCAGTCTGTAAGAAACAAAGAGAATCACCGTTGAACTTCTCCTGTGTCTCTAAATTCATGTCCATAAGCTCAACTTTTTCACTCAGACAATCAACTTGATTATCATAATGAGCATTTTCCTGGTTATTGACACCCTTAAGAGGATGCAAATCATAGGAGGGTGATGCATTTTCAACATTTTCCATAGCACACATGGGTATGTCAAAAGTGCTTTTGACATTCTGTACAGCACTAGATGCCTTAATTGCAACATCTGATGATTCATGAAAAGGATTTGAATGTGAGTTTTGCTGGTTATTGGGTTTTGTGTTTTCAATTGACATGATAGATCTAGCAGGTTGCAGCTTTCCAAGCTTTGCTTTGTTTTGACCTCCACTTGGACTTCCAGCTCCATGTATTGGCAAGCCACGAAGTACAAGAGACTGTGGTTGCATTCCCCTACGTGGAGTACGCCCTGAGGATTTCACCTGCATTACATTATGACCAATTCAACAAATGCAGTGTAATAGAGAGATGAAGAAAGAAATAAAAAATCATAATTTAAAGAAGCACGTATTGCATCTGCGATAAACAATACTTAGCTTTTAAGCTGTGTGACCAAAGTCATAATGATATAAAATCTACAAACTTCTCCAACAAGAACATAACACTAACAAAACTGTTTCTAATTACATCAAATATAAGGCTTTTAGACCATTCTAAATCAGTTCAACAAAAAATATGCCATATGCATTTTCCAGAAGTTTTACCTGACTAATGCAATCAATCTCGCATTTTGACAATACGGGACAAGTCGCGCACATTAACCATACAAGACTTTGTGCCAGCATGTAAGTGGAAAATGTGCAGGACTACCATACATTTGTATTAAGTCTCGTAAAGTCCACTGGTTTGCTATGCGAGATTTCCACGCTAGCACTAAGTCCTGTATGATCAATGTGCGGGATTTAAAGAGTCTCGTACGGTCAACGTGTGAAACTTCCACACTGGCTTAGTCCTGCATGGTTGACGTGCAGAACTTGTATTGTATGATCAACATACGAGATTGAATGCATTAGTTTGAAATTTCTTTTTGAAAAATAAATTAAATAAGTATTTTTCTTAAAAAAAAAGCCTTAGTGCAGTGAAAAAGCCTCAAATATAAACAAGGAAGCAAGACTCACCCCATCAAAGAAGCCAATCTTTGGTGAAGGAAGTCGAAGGCCCGAGGGTTTCATTAGAGCTGAAGGAAGAGCTGTTCCTCCAGGAGCAGTCCTTGCACGTTGACTGATCAACTCAGTATGATGAGCTTCCTGCCCTTCTAAGCTTGAATCACTCTGCGGAATATGAGAATTTGTACCTTGATCTGCATCAGTGTGTAATACAACCTTTCTGCTAGAGCTACTATCAACGCTAGACCTTGAACTATTCCACATATGTTTAGCCATAGAAGTTGAAGAGGATGACTCTGAAGACCAATCACTGAAAGAGCTAGCGGGTGAAATACTAGAAGAAAGTTTGGTGACAGACATCAAGCCTGAGAGACTAGAATTGCCAGGCTCAGATTTATTTCTTGAAGCAGTTCTTGATGGTGTTCTGACAGCTGGGCTACATGAGATTGGCTTTAAAGCTCCACCATTAACTTTTCTATTTATGGAATTCAAAGGAGATTTACCAATATTATCAGATAAATTGATAGCAGAAGATGTGGAAGTTGCTGATTTTGTCTTGGTTGATACTGACGGACCAGAAGGGGATTTGGATGACTGTGTTGGTTTAGGCACAATACCTCGAGAACCTCCAATAACAGATGCTTTTGAAGTTGAATTGACTTTATCTGAAGATGTCAAATTAAAGTAAAAGTTACCAACAACTTAGATAAAGACAACTGTTACACCAAAATGAGAAGCCAAAAATTTAAAAGAACTCAAAGCAAGTTCTAACCACCAATTATTCGTTTTGCCTTGTCCTTATCACTTTTGACACGTAGATCACCAAGCAATACTCTCTTGGATGAAATTGTGGAACTTGGATTAGACTTTAATGGTACCTTTGATTGCTTTGAAATAGATGACTCTCTCCTAGGAGCAACAGGCTTCTTCAAAATGAGAAAACTAGTCAGATATATAGTCATTCAAATTTCAGTGCATGACTTCTGACTGCTTTTGTCCTCTGCCGCCAATCATTCGTTAGCATAATTAGAAAATCCAGTAGTTCTCTTTAATGGTTTAATTTAGTGGCATACCTGTGTAAGTTGCGGAAAAATAGGATTCTTCTTTATCATATTCCCAGATCCTCGCATGCCAGCACTTGGATTCTTAGGAGCAGGTGGAGCCTTCATCTAAAATCAATAGAAAGTTATTGTAGACATAAAGTGGGAGCAAAATAGGGTGCACTATTTCAGACATGAAACATTGCGCCCTTTTTCACCACCAAGCATTTATCCACAGCACCTATATCCAGAATTAATAATAGGTGCCTCTGTGATGGGTTTACTAGATATACCATCAAATCATAGGGCTACAGGTGGAATGGGTAAAGTTTTGAGAGAAGTGAACAACCTATCTACAACTGAATCAACCCCCATGGTTAACATTAACACTACATGTATATGGCACAAATTTTCTAGTCTCTATCACTAATGCAATTTACCTTGTTGTGAGAAACCACGCCAACTTTTTTTGAAGCTGAAAAAAGAAGAAGAAATAATTAAGTGGAGTAATTGAGGATAAATC